TCCTAATGCCGTGCAAGATGCTGTTGGCTTTCTTTGCCACAGAGGGTGCATTGCTGACTCCTGCTCAGCTTGCTGCCCACCCGGACTCCCACATCATTCTCTGTAGAGCTGTTTTCCAGTCCCCAGCAAGTACAGTTGCCTAGGGATATTCCTTCCCAGATGCAGGACTTTGCATTTCCCCTTTGTTGAACTTCAAAGGTTTCATCTGAGTACAATTGTCCAGGCTGTCCAGGTCCCTTTGAATGGCAGAACAACCACCTGGGGTAGCAGCTGCTCCCCAGTTTTGTGTTGCCTGTGAACTTGCTGAAGGTGCACTCTGTCCCAGCACCTGGGTCATTAATGAAGCTGTTCAACAACATTGGCCCTGGAAGTGACTTCCCTCCAGCTTGACTTTGTGCCACAGCTATGCAGAAAGAAAAGAAGTTTAACACTCCCCTTGTCTAAATATGTATTAGGTTAAGAAAGACTTCTGAAGGTAAAAGCTACTGTAGTAGTGTGATTTTGCTTCTTATGAATCTAAATACGCTGTCGAGTAAGCTGTGATGCCTAGGATCTTGGGGATGATTCGCATGTGTAGTAAACAACAAGCCTATCCTAAATGTTAAATATGATTAGTAATCTGTGCCTTTTCATGGAGGGAAAGTGTTTGTTTTCTACATGCGCCCGCAGAGTGATTATTGTCAGTTGTGAAGTACCACAGCTTAGATTTCTCTAAGCTTTATATTGCAGAGCAGAACTAGTATCTGAAAATGATAAATATAAAGCTTGCTTTTTTTTCTTAAAAAAAAAAAAGTATTTAGAATGTTACTAATTGTTCTTTTGATGACACATCAAACTGAACTACTCATTTTGAGGGAGGGAGAGATATGCCTAAGTGGGTTTGACATTCATATGATGTAGGGCAATTGAGACAATGCAAATACTTCATCATTTAATATTCACGTCTCGGGTTATAGGAATTGTATCACTTCCCCCACAGTTTTAGAATTTGCAGTGACATACGGGTGAATCAGATATTTGTCATGCACATACCTTTTTAAAGAATAGATAAGAGGCTTTTATAGCAAGATCTGAAGAGATTCTTACTGAGACTAACTTGTTATTTTTCTTAGACTAACTTCTTATTTTTAAATAAGTTTATTTAATTTCTCTTAATGCTTTGGAGGCTGGTTGTGTTGTGTTGATTGTTCTTCTGCAAGTCAGTTTACCTTGTCACATGATAAAAGCTGTTGTGAGCTGCTTAGGTACAACAAATTTTTGTGTCGCCAGTTATTCTGGGCTTTGGGTACATTTCTTTAATGATTCATTGCAACTCCTTTTCTAGCACATAAGAAACTTTGCATATAGTTATTTTGGAATGTAATTTTTTCTTCTAAAGCTTTTGTTGGTTCACTTTACCTTGTAGGTGATGCTGCTGCAATTAAGTAGTGAATTTTTTTCAATAAATAATATTTTAAACCAGGAATTTGGGAAAGCTGAATAATTTGAAGAATTTGAAATTAAGTACGTTTGGGAAATGCTGTGTAAGTGCTGAACGATTGTGCTCGTTTCAGTCAGGAAAGAGTTAATTTTCTTCATAGTGGGTCATTTGAAGCTCTGTCTCTGGATTTACGCTCAGAATAGTACTGATAAGGTGTCTTTTTAGCTCATGCTGGGGAGTGCTGGTACCAAATTCAAGGTATTTTCAGCTTATGATACTGCAGCTGCGTTCCCAACTTTCTCACTGCAAGACAGGGACACACACAGAGGTCAGACAGCTAACCCACACTGATCGAAGGGGTATTTTATTTCACAGCGCATCATGCTCAGTCCATAAGCAGGGAGGGGGCGAGGGGAGGTGTGGGGGCATAACTCTTTTGCTCCTTAACTCTTACTGGCTCCTTTGCTGGTTCCTTAGCTCCTTTGTTAGCTCCTTTGCTAACTCCTTTGCTTGCTCGTTCATTAGTAAGTTGGTGGCTCAGTTGGCTTTCCCAGTTGTGCTGTCTGTCGCTTGTGGGGCTCACTCAGACTCTGCTGCGATTGCTATCAAGCTCTCCGGCTCTTGCTACTTGAGACCTGGCTGTGTATTGGTCAGCGGGTGGTGAGCAATTTCATAATAAGTAATATTTTCTATCACTTTAATTACCTAGTAGTAGTATAGTTAATATTAGTATCACTATAATATTAATTTATATTCAGTTATTAAATAGTTCTTATCTCAATTTTATAAGCTTCCTTGTCTTTTCCTCTGATTCTCCTCCACTGGAGGACAGGGGGAGGTGTGTGAGCAGCTGCATGGTATTTTCTTGCTGGCTGAGGTTAAACCATGATAATAATACACTAGATGAAAGAGAAGAAACTAAGTTACAGATATTTCGTAATAGTGAAATCTCACAGTTTACCCTGAAAACAATTGATCACATGACTAGAGTAGAAAAATTTCCTTAATGGTAATATTGTGAACATCTTAAGGCAAAGAAAATTATTCTGTAACAAACTCTCTATTGTAATTGGATGAGCAAATATGCTTCTGATCATGAGAGCTAATGTTTGTGCTTCTCAAACTCTTGCAAAGAATTTGACATAAATATCTTTGTGAAGGCTTTGAGAACACAAATTTCAGTGATGAATCAGGTACTGCTGAATTGATTATATCTGCAAAATTGATTTATTCAGCTGGTCTCCTAGAGAAAATGATAGCTTACTTGGAGAAATTTTCCTGAGTTTCCTAAGTTCTTGTTGAAAAATGGAAAAATTCATAGGGCATTTTAGTTTCAAGTAGTGGTAATCTCGTTCTTCTGCATGAAGTATTTGAATAGCTCTTTCGTAACAGTTATGATGTTGTTTCAAAAGGAGCAGTCTCAGCATTCAACCTATTTCCTGGTTTTCTTTTTTTTTTCTTGTCAATGAGCCATTCTCAAATTGCATAAACATATTGCACCAGTGGCTTCTTGGCAATGCTAAAGTTTTTTAATTGAGATTCTCTTTTTTTATATGGAATACTATTACTATTTGTGAGACAAAGAAATTTATTGAAGTTGACTGTGAAATTGGATAATCTCAGATTGCATATTCTTCGACTATATTCAGAAATGTTGGAGGAAAGCATTTCACAAAGGACAGCCTTTGTAGCAAGAAAAGCAGCTAGAAAGAGAAGATGGTAATGCACTGCCTAGGGAAAGGGGGGATGAAAATTCGACTATACTTTATCTTACACTTTTGTGTACATTGTGTTTACTGTACCTTCTGTAACCAAATCTGCCTCCTTCTATCTAGTATCTCTATTATTTAAGACACATTGCTTTGGGATTTGGCATTTTATATTAATCTGTT